AAGCCACAAAGTTACCTTTGTCATATGGTAACTGTCCTGCAGTCATAAGTGGGAGAAGATGGGGGATAGGAACGATGAGAAGACTCCTCTGAAGTCCGTGCCTGTCTTGTTGGGTTGCAGAGCCCAAAATAGAGGTGAAGATTACAGACTTAGTGTGAACCCATGTTCTTCCTCTTGTTGCTTTGGGTAATGCTTACATATCTTCAACAACATCTTCTACTTTACTCCTGCACTGGTGACAATCCCCTCTTTCAATATGTCTTCCCCGAGATGGGGATGAAGAATATATTAAGTAGCAGTTGATGGTCTGATATTATCCCCTTATCTCTGGTTGTAAGCTCTGCTACGAACCAAAATTCAGCCTCACCGGGAAAGTCCCAACTTTTAAAATCTTATTCCACTGTGGGGTCCTTTGTCCTCCCAGAACTTGGTGGTTTTCTTGCAAGACATTTGATTACTCAACTAGGTAACAGCATCCTTGTTAGTGGTCTTATTCCACCATTGAAGGAATGGGTAGACCTTGAGACCATGGCTAAAATATCTGCATTTAGCATTTAGTAGCAGGGATTCTCTGTCATGTGTGAATGGCAAACATTCTCTTCAGTTCCTGGGTGGAAGAGGGAAGGGATGGTTTTCCATGTTAGCTAGGAATTAGCCATGAGGCAGTCCGAAATTGAGTGAGCTAAATCCACCAAAATCACTCTGAAGACTGAACCGGGACAAAGAGCCAGAAAGCATGTATGAGTTCTGCTATGCTCAAACACAAAGCTTTGGGAGGGGGGAGGGTGTGTGTGTAGCCACGCAACATGATGGTGCCCTGGAGAAGGCAGGCATTTATTTTATTTTTTATTTTTGCAACTTGATGCTTCTGAACTCTTAACTTTGGACTGGAGGTCTTCTGGGAAGCTGCTGGAGGTGGGGACCAAAGAGGTGTCTCTCCACCACACACACACCCCACACACATCTCCTTTTAAATTGCATTTGTGTGTTTGTGTTATTTCTTTTCTCCCCCCTCCCTAAAAGTTAACCTCACTTTTGAGGGGTGCTGGGACTGAGTAAATTGCCCAGAAATGCCATTTATTCTGAGAAGCGTTACCTTCCCTGAATAAAAGGTGGGTTTTTTTCTTCTTCTGGGGGGTGGGGGGTGGGGAGAGAAGGGACTTTCAAAGCAAGGTGGGAGGCAACGGATGATTTTGGTACTAAGACCAGCGGCTGGGAAGAGGAGCAGGAAGAGAGAGCGAGAGATTCCCTCCCGCCCCCCCCCCCCATTTTGATCAAACACCCTTTCGATTAAAGGAGCTAGGAAAAGTGGGGTGCGGCTTTTTGGGGGGTAGGGGAAGAGGGGCAGAGAGTTAAGGAAAGGAAGTCCAGATTGTAAACACAGAAAGGATACGCAGCGGCGTCGCGCCCCCCTTCCCTGCAAGGATCTTTTTAAGATGGAGCATCAACGCCGCTACAAATAGGTAAAAGAAAAAATAGAAAAAATCCTTGATTTCTTGGGGGTGGGTGGGGGGAGGCGGTGAAGGTACGGCTGGCCCTGGGAGGGGAAAAATACCAAAGCTCTTTTATTTTTATTTTATTTTTTGATGGGGGTGGGTGGGTTAAAATGGGACTGGGTGGGGCTGAAGGGGGGAGAGAGAATATACGTAGAGAGGGGGATGAAGGTGGGGAGGGGGGAAAAGTGGGGTGTTACGAAAAGCTTTGATACTGACCCTTTGATGCTCGCCTCTCTGGGTGTATGGCTTGATTTGGGGGTAGTGGGGGGCGGAAAGCTACCCATTTCTTTTTATATTCTCCTCCTCCTTATGGTTGTTATTATTAACATCCTCTCTCTCTCTCTCTCTCTCTCTCTCTCTCTCTCTCTCTCTCTCTCTCTCACACACACACACA